TGGCTGTCTTCATTCTTATTCACATGTGCCATAGCTTTTCAGTTTTGCATTCATCAGCAGTGATTTGTCTTATGTAAAAAAAAAAATTCTTTGCCTCCGGCATAAGTGGTGGGAAATAATCTTTATTTTAATTATTATTGCTCCATTGATGTGTGTCTCATCTGCATTTTTGGGAAAACATTGCCCCCTGTAAAGGAAGTAATCATGTACTGGAGACAGACAGGTACAATTTGCCGTCTTCCTTCTGGGAACTTACTTTATTAGCTTCCTTGAGCTGGCCTTTACCCTTTTGGCCTGGTCATGTGTTGCCTCACAGATCCCAGTTGCTTGTTGCTACAATTCCCAAACTGAATACAGTCATACTTCGGGTTACAGACGCTTCAGGTTGCGTTTTTTCGGGTTAAAAAGGTAAAGGTAAAGGTACCTCTGCCCATACGGGCCAGTCTTGACAGACTCTAGGGTTGTGCGCCCATCTCACTCAAGAGGCCGGGGGCCAGCGCTGTCCGGAGACACTTCCGGGTCACGTGGCCAGTGTGACAAAGCTGCTCTGGCGAGCCAGCGCAGCACACACGGAAACGCCGTTTACCTTCCTGCTGGTAAGCGGTCCCTATTTATCTACTTGCACCCGGGAGTGCTTTCGAACTGCTAGGTTGGCAGGCGCTGGGACCGAACAACGGGAGCGCACCCCGCCGCGGGGATTCGAACCGCCGACCTTTCGATCGGCAAGCCCTACGGACCGCCAAAACCCAGAAGTGCCGGAATGGGTTACTTCCGGGTTTCGGGGCTCACGCTAAATCGCGCTTTGCGATTTCTGCGCTTTGCTGGGTGACCTTGGGCCAGTCACACTTCTCTGAAGTCTCTCAGCCCCACTCACCTCACAGAGTGTTTGTTGTGGGGGAGGAAGGGAAAGGAGAATGTTAGCTGCTTTGAGACTCCTTAAAGGGAGTGAAAGGCGGGATATCAAATCCAAACTCCTCCTCTTCTTCTAATGTATTCAGGTGAGCAAAGCTTATTTTAAATATAACATGGAGTTCTGTGCCCACTGTGTTTTGTTTCACTCTGAAAAACATACAATCTCTGGTATTGCTGTCAGCTAGATTGCTGCATGGGCATGGCCGGCTGCAGTGGGAAAGTAAAAAACTTTAACTGTCCATCTGGAATGTTGCCCAGGTGTGCTGCACATTGCCATGGAGTGGATTATGGGCAGCAGATGCTGCAGCCAGCAGGAGCCAACGAGAAACAGCAGTTGCATTTAAAGCGGTCTTTGAATGAGTAAACCCAGTCATGAGTCTTTTTTTGTGCTTCACTCCAAAATAATAAGAATGCTTAGCACTGATATAGTCCATATACAGTGTACTTGGGTTACATACGCTTCAGGTTACAGGGACTTCCACTAACCCAGAAAATTAGTACCTCAGGTTAAGAACTTGCTCAGGATGAGAACAGAAATTACGCGTGCGGCAGCGCAAGCAGCAGGAGGCCCCATTAGCTAAAGTGGTACCTTCAGGTTAGGAACAGTTTCAGGTTAAGAACGGAGCCCAGAATGAATTAAGTTCTTAACTTCGAGTACACACTGCATGAAGTCTGAAAGAGTCCACCCTTCAAGATGCTACAACAGTATTGTATAGGCAGAAGCATTATCCATGCATTGCAGATCATAGAAGTGGGGAAGGGAACATAAGGGCTGAGGTGCGTGTCTTGCCCAGGGGGAAACGAACTGAATCGTTTGCTAAATAATGCGTGCAGAGGTCTCCTTTCAAGTATGTACAACAGGTACCCTTCTGAGCATGTATTCCTCGAGCCCATGCATTGACTACCCAAAGCAAAGCCCAGGAATAGGGAGTGTGTGCGGGGTGTGTGTGTGTGCACACTTTACCAGGTCCCCCACCTCCTAAGGGGTTTGGCTTGGACCACAGGGGAAAACTACGTAGTAGTAGTACATGTCATACTTCGGGATAATATGCGTTCAGGATAAAGTATTTTCCGGTTGGCGCTCCATGGTGACCTGGAAAGTAAGAGCGTGTTAACTCGGGTTTCGCCGTTTGCGCATACTGCGCTCAATGACATCAAGCGCATGCGCGGAGTGGCAAAATGTGGACCCGCGCACGCACAGTCGCGTCTTACGTTCTGTTTCAGGATTGCCAAACGGAGGTCTGGAACCAGATCCTGTTCGCATTCCCGAGGTAGACCACTCCTGATAGTAGCAGAGTTAGGTAATCAATTACAATTGGAACCTCCGGGTTTATGTACATTGAATATACAATTAATTCTGGGCGGCTTCCCTAATACATTAAAAAAAGGGCGCTTTGGGTAGTTGTTACTGAGCTCTGATAGGGCTAACCGGGGTTACAACCTGTTTTGGTTTATAACTTGACCTCCGGAACGTATTATGGTTGTAAACCAAGGTATCACTGTACTGCATAAAATAAGCAGCCAGCCCTGGCCCTCCCCTGGAAGAAAGAGGAAGAGAGTATTTGCACAGGAAACTTGCTTGACAGGCAAGAAAGAAGCGTTGCTCAGCCATGAGACTAGACAGGACGGCTCTCAGACCAGGTGTGACTTCCTAGAAAGCAGCTCCTCTTTGCAAATGAAGCATTGCCCCTGCCTTAGGTATAAAAGTACCCAAGCCTACGATACAGAATAACGCCAAGGGTGACTGTGGGGACCCAGGGCAGTTGCTTCCTCCATGTGTTTCAGGCCCTCTACTGATTATTCCTCAGGACCTTGGGCCCTCCAGATGTTCACAGAATTGTAGAATTGGGAGGGACCTCGAGGGTCATCCAGTCCACCCCCCTGCAATGTGGGAATATTTCATGCAATGTGGGGCTCAAACCCACAACCCTGAGATTAAGAGTCGCATTCTCTACCAACTGAGCTAGCCTGGGCTGTTGCTGAACAACAACTCCCACCAGCTGTACAGAGAACAATCAAGGGCCAAGGCTGATGGGAGTTGTAGTTCAGTAACATCTGGGGGCCCAAGTTTCCCTACATCTGTTAGGTAAGGAAAGTGCTGGATAAATCTACTGCTGGGCAAAAAGTACATCATGCTCTGCAGAGAGGGAAGCACTGTGATGTACTTTAAACTATGCAGTTGGATCCTGTCCAGTGTATATTCCCATGGGAGGGATAAGAGAGCAAGAAGAACAAACAGACTGTGTTTTGTCCCTTGCAACCAAGAGACAGGTACTTTATACTCGCTTGGTTTTTATTCTGGAGCTGTGGACCAGTAAGGCAAGCACAAGAGATGACTATAGTTTGGCCTGCAACAGCATCAGTTAACCACACAGGTGCAGCTCAGGTAAACTGTAGAAAAAGCTGGACAGGACTTGCAAAATAGCAAAAAGAAGAGAAGTAAAGCAAGCTGTTGGCACCTGTCTGTCTCAAAAGACAATACAGGTCACCTTTGGGGGTGAAGCATCAAAGTGACCTCCCTGGCGCAAAAGCATATGGAGGTCCTCCTGGGCTGCCCAGAAGACAAGACCTCTTGGCCTCACTGATGTGGTCCAAAGGAAAGCAGAACAATAGGACTGGCACCAGCTTGGCTGCAGGAGTTGCTGGAAGGAGGCCTACAAGGCATCATTGAGCCATTTTAGAGACTCCACTCCAGACTTGTGTTGTGTTTACTCCTTAGTCTTTTCTTCTCCAGATATCCCGCAAGGCAGCAGAAGTTTACGATCAGATGGGTTGCCTTCCCAGGTGGAGGAGCCCCACCGGCCCCCCATGTCCCTCTAGCAGCCTGTGGGTCCCCAAATGTTTTGGGACTACAACTCCCATCACCTCTAGCTAGCAAGGCCAGAGCTCAGGGATGATGGGAGTTGTAGTCCAACATCTGGGGACCCACAGGTTGATAACCACTGCACGGTCTACAGCATGTGCCGAAACTGCCCTCTTGACCGTTGAACCCTCTACAGTGGTACCTCGGGTTAAGTACTTAATTTGTTCCGGAGGTCCGTTCTTAACCTGAAACTGTTCTTAACCTGAAGCACCACTTTAGCTAATGGGGCCTCCTGCTGCCGCTGCACGATTTTTGTTCTCATCCTGAAGTGAAGTTCTTAACCCGAGGTAATATTTCTGGGTTAGCGGAGTCTGTAACCTGAAGCGTATGTTAACCCGAGGTACCACTGTATTGGTCTTGTGCACTCAATCTGCCCAAATCTGTCTTTGCAGGCTGGGCAAGTCCATATCTCACTCTGGGTTTAATACCCATCGCTACCTTCACCTGCTTCATCCGGCCAGTCGAAGCCATTTCCCAGCTCCTAGGAGCCACAGGAGCTGAGTGCAGGGTGGGGACCGAAGGTGGAGAAAAACGACCCCAGAAGGAGCCTAACGTGTCCTCCACTACCAGAGGAGCTACCCGTCCCATAAGTAATTGTTGTTTAGTCATTTAGTCAATTGTTGTTTAGTCATTGGAGGTCTTCCAAGGCCTCCCGCAGTTTGGTCAAACTCATGCTGGTAGCTTCGAGAGCACTGTCCCACCATCTCGTCCTCTGTCATCCCCTTCTCCTTGTGCCCTCCATCTTTCCCAGCATCAGGGTCTTTTCCAGGGAGTCTTCTCTTCTCATGAGGTGGCCAAAGTATTGGAGCCTCAGCTTCAGGATCTGTCCTTCCAGTGAGCACTCAGGGCTGATTTCCTTCACAATGGAGAGGTTTGATCTTCTTGCAGTCCATGGGACCCTCAAGAGTCTCCTCCAGCACCAGAATTCAAAACCCCGTAAGTAATAGGGGCCCTGAATTCTGCGTTTCCCCTCGTTTCTTCTCGAGCTCGCTTTCATTTCCTCTCCGCTCGCCAGTCCGATCACCCGCACGCTTTACGCGGGAGCCAGCCCGCTTTAGCCTATGGGATTTCTCTCCGCGCGCTTCGCCCCGCTCTCGCCTCGCAGGCGCGGAGAGGGAGGCGGCGCCGGAGGCCGGCCGTGCGCGCTGGGCTTCCGCACGTGCGCTGCGCCGGGGCGGTTCTCCGGGCGTTTGGGCGGCGCGGAGGCGGCGCTGGCTGGCCGTGCTCCGCCCGCGGCTCCTCCTCCTCCTGCGAGAGGCCGACGGACTTGTCGGCCGGGCGGCGGGCACTGGGCACTGGACGGGCTCCTGGCCGTGCGCCGCATCGTGCCCTTCCTCGCGTCTCGCTGCTCACCATGCCCAAGCGGCTCTCCCGGGCCCGGCCGGGGCTGCCGGCTGCCGGCGCCTTGCTCGCCGCCTCCTCCTTCCGGCTGTGGCTGCTGCTGCTGTTGCTGCCCGTGCCCGGGGCGCTCGGCGTCGGCCTCTACACTCCCGACGACCCGCTGGTGGTGTTCTCGGCGGATACCCTGGAGCGCAGCATCTTCAACTCCAGCAGCGCCTGGGTGGTCGAGTTTTACGCGTCCTGGTGCGGCCACTGCATCCACTTCGCCCCCACCTGGAAAGCGCTGGCCAACGACATCCAAGGTAAGGAGGGCGACTTGGTTTGCCGGAAGGGTGGTGGGACACCTGTCGGTGATGGCTGAGTGGGAAGGAAGGACACTCTGCATAAGCTCAGAGGCGCGCTTTCTCTTGATGCGCGCTGCCTGGTGATGGTTCTTGGAGAGGACTTGGAGACGCAGAGAAGCCGCTTGCCGATGCCCCTCTCCCTGGGGGCGCCGGCCCTTCTCCCCGTGACGTGGGAACTCCGTTGCGTTTGTATTTGCATTTAAGCCTCCCCTATTTGGGCAGTTAGCCCTCGAATCGGTTTGCGCCTCTTGCAGCGCGCGCGCAAGCAAACCTCGCGGTGCGCAAGAGCGCCGACTTCCTGGTGCGGTTTTCCCCTTCTGCCTCCCTGCTCACTTCTGATTCTCCCCTTCTGCGCCCACCCAGGATCGAACTGGCAACGTTGACTGGAGAGACGCGGCTCTTCCAAAATATTCAAGGCTTCTCTCTTCTCCTGACGTGCTTGATAAAACTTTTTTTTTAATATAATTTTTTATTAGTTTTTTTTAAACATATCATTTTCAACAGTAATTAACCATACTTTTACATCTTATTCAAATTTTTGACTTCCATCAATCCTGTCTGAAAATTTTCCAATCTAATCTCTCAGTATACATTTCTTATCTTCCCTGTTACATTTCAAACTCTTAACCAATATCTCTATCTTTTTCTACTTTGTTACACTTCATATATTTCTCCTTACAAATCTTCTTGTAGTCCTACTAGCGTAATTTGTTGATTACAGTTGCTCTTCAAATAATTCATATACTTCTTCCAATCTTCTGTAAATCTCTGGTCCCGCAGGTTTCGAATCCTTCCTGTCATTTTGTCCGATTCTGCATAGTCCATTAATTTCGTCTGCCATTCTTCTTTCGTTGGAAACATTCTTCTTGTTTCCATTTCTGGGCTAACAATACTCTTGCCGTGCTTGATAAAACTTAAGCAGAGTAGAAACCCGTAAGCGGTGGGAACGGAAGTCGAGATTCACTTTTGGAGAGGAGCAAGGACGCAGGTGGCGCTGTGGGTAAAAGTCTCAGCTCCTAGGGCTTGCCGATCGAAAGGTCGGTGGTTCGAATCCCCGCGGCGGGGTGCGCTCCCGTTGTTCGGTCCCAGCGCCTGCCAACCTAGCAGTTCGAAAGCACCCCCGGGTGCAAGTAGATAATTAGGGACCGCTTACTGGCGGGAAGGTAAACGGCATTCTGTGTGCTGTGCTGGCTCGCCAGAGCAGCGATGTCAGGCTGGCCACGTGACCCGGAAGTGTCTGCGGACAGCGCTGGCCCCCGGCCTCTTGAGTGAGATGGGCGCACAACCCTAGAGTCTGGCAAGACTGGCCCGTACGGGCAGGGGTACCTTTACCTTTAAGGAAGAGCGAATGGTGAGGGCAGGCAGCCTTTTAATACGAATTGGGTGCCTCCACTTCCCCCAGCAGTTGGGGCAAAGCAGGAACATGACCAGAGAGAGGCCCTGCATGTGGCCAACTTTCCCCCTTTCTCTCTTTCCTGCTCCCTTGTTCTTCAGCAACGGCCCAGGCTAGCTCAGTTGGTAGAGAATGCGACTCTTAATCTCAGGGTTGTGGGTTTGAGACCCACATTGCATTAAATAGTCCCACATTGCAGGGGGGTGGACTGGATGACCCTCGAGGTCCCTTCCAACTCTACAATCCTGTGAACATCTGGAGGGCCCAAGGTCCTGAGGAATAATCAGCAGAGGGCCTGAAACACATGGAGGAAGCAACTGCCCTGGGTCCCCACAGTCACCCTGGCCTTGCCATTACAGTGGTACCTCGGGTTACATAGGCTTCAGGTTACATACGCTTCAGGTTACAGACTCCGTTAACCCAGAAATAGTGCTTCAGGTTAAGAACTTTGCTTCAGGAGGAGAACAGAAATCGTGCTCTGGCGGCGCAGCAGCAGCAGGAGGCCCCATTAGCTAAAGTGGTGCTTCGGGTTAAGAACAGTTTCAGGTTAAGTACGGACCTCCGGAACGAATTAAGTATTTAACACGAGGTACCACTGTATTCTGTATTGTGGGCTTGTGGGCTTTTATATCTAAGGCAGGGAGTTTGAGAGAGAGAGAGAAAGAGGATGTCACACGCTTTTTTCTTGCCTGTCAAGCAAGTTTCCTGTGCAAATGCTCTCTTCCTCTGTCTGCTCTTAGGAATACTTTTTTTTTTTTTGGCCAACAACTGTATCCCCTCACCTCTCTCTGTTGTGTAGATTTCTGCCCTTGTGGGCATATGTCCCCATGAACTTTGTGTTGCACTTCTGTTTTCCTTGGGGCTGATTCCGCTCTCCTCCTGGTGGCAGATAAGCTGCTTAGGTATTTCAGTGTTTCCTCCTCCTCCCATTGTCCTGTCAGTTTCTGTGTATCTTTTTACATCTCTACAGAAAGCACAGGGAGGATGCTGCGTTTAATGACCAGGATCTTATCAAAACTACCGCAAGGCCTCTTGCCGGCTGCTAGCCTAGCTTACATGGCTTTCAACGGGCGTGAGACTAAATGTAGGGAGGACCAGTGTGTCATGGGCTACATGGAGCGCCAAGGTTCCGGGTTCAAGTCCTGCTTGTGGACTTCCTGGAAGCGGCTGGTTGGCTTGCTGTAGGAAACCGGGTGCTGAACCAGGTAGACTTTTGATCCAGCAGAGCTATTTCTGCCCTGCCAGGGCTTGCAGTTCATTTCTCTGCAACCCAGAACCACTCTTGCTGTTTCTGTGTGCAGCTTACGGCAACTGGATCCTTCAGCAATAGCAGATTCAAGTCAGGCAGCTGTGAACATGTACCATTGCTGGTGCTATTACTAAATATAAAGTTAAAGTTAAAGATGATGATGGACTCCAACTCCTAGCATCTCTTGTGCTTGGTCAGTGCTTGGAGCCAGTGTGGTGTAGTGGTTAAGAGCGGTGGACTCGTAATCTGGGGAACCGGGTTCGATTCCCCGCTCTTCCACATGCAGCTGCTGGGTGACCTTGGGCCAGTCACACTTCTCTGAAGTCTCTCAGCCCCACTCACCCCCACTGTTTGTTGTGGGGGAGGAAGGGAAAGGAGAATGTTAGCCGCTTTGAGACTCCTTCGGGTAGCGATAAAGCCAGATATCAAATCCAAACTCTTCTTCTTCTTGGTCATGCTAGTTGGGCCTGGTGGGAGTTGGAGTTCTTCTAATTATTATTTTAATTAAAAATTTAATAATTTTTTTAATAAAAACATTTTTTAATAATAAAAAGGTTTAACTGAACAACATACAATTAAAATAAAAAGTGGAAACCCCCCAAAAGGTATGTTATGACATTATAAGAGTTAACAATTGCAATTCCATATATACATATCTAATGCACAGGTGTTATTCTTTTCCAAATACATATATATTTATAATCTATTGTATTTTGTATAAATACATTCCAGATATCATTATATTTCTCCATGCAAAGTCTACGTTATCTACAAGCAATCCGTTCATAAGTTGCAAGTGTGATCATATCCATTGATTAAATGGAACTGTGCCCTTATCCCCCCCAATCTTCATTATTATTTTATTTACGATTTTCAGTTTTATACATTTCAATGATTTTGCAATCATGTTAACATTTCAAAACTCGACTTCCTTCCTCCTTTCTGCGGTTCCTTAATTAAAAAAAAATACTTTCTGCATATTCCAATTTAACTTAATTTACTTTAAATATATATGCTCTTATAAAACTGCAGGTTATTACAATAATCCTGCCAATGTTCTTATCTGTTTACAGTTTATTCGTATATATTCAACAAACCATTTCCATTCTTTTATAGAAAGTTTGTTATCTTGATTTCTAATTTTTTCGGTAAGTTTCTCCATTTCTGCATATTCCACAAGTTTTTGTATGCATTCTTCTTTCACCGGGACTTTTTCTTTTCATTTTTGGATAACGTTATTGTCGCTATAGTTGCATACATGAATAAATTTCTATACCGTTTGGGTAGTTCTGTCCCTATAATTCCCAAAAGGAAAGCTTCAGGGTTGTTTTTTACAAACGTTATTTTAAACATCTTTTTCATTTCATTATATATCATTTCCCAGTAAGCTTTAAGCTTACTACAAGACCACCACATATAATAAAAAGAACCTTCTTTCTCTTTACATTGGAGCTGTACCCTTATCTTTCCAGGGCATCATTATCCGTCTAAGAAACCATTTACGTTGTCCAGTTGTCAGCTTCCAAATAGTAGATGTGCAGTTCAGAAGATTTCTTCCCTCTGAAAAGACTCTTTTGAACTCTGAAAATACCTCTGAAAACACTGACATGCAACATCTGGAGGTTAAATTAATGGAAGCAACTGCTACCCTAACAAGGAGTTAATGAAAGCAATGCAGCTACCTGAATTTGCCAATTACCTTCTAGGTCAGGAGTCAGCAAACTGGGCCGGTGTCTCCAGCACCGATCGCGTGGCGGGCCGGAGGGTGGGGGAGCGCGTGTCCATACACACTATTTCCAGCGCACTTCTGGGTCGGAGAAACACCGGAAATAGCTTGTGTGCATGTGCACGGGCCTCCTCTGACCCGGATGTGCACTGGAAATAACGCTTGTGCATGCGCACAAGCTATTTCCGGTGCTCCTCCGACCCGGAAGTGGGCAGCCGCGCAGCGCAGCACCGGTAAGAGCGGGCGGCGGCAGTACTTTATTGGAAGGAGAAAAATAATCATTTCCTTAATAATAATTTAAACAATTTATTTAACTAAAGCAAATAACATTATAGAATATGTATCAATGTTTGTTAACTGATGTGGTTAAACTTTTTTTTTTTAACCAACTTAGACTGAGTTTTACCACACATGAAAAACTTAGAACAAATCCTTATCGCCTGATGAATAGCTTTTGGACTATAATGTAACTTAAATAGAAAACTATCTTTAGAAAGATTTCCCCCCCAAAAGCATTTTATTTTAAAATCTGATTTTAAAAAAACCCAAAAAACGATTTAAATCCAAAAAATCTGTTGTGTTTTTTTAAA